TTATTGTAAATCTAGTCCTATCATATTTATTTTCTTTCTTTTTTTAGATATCGTTCTTTTTTAAATGAACTAGGTTTTTAGTGTGGGAGATGTATGGAGATTCAAACTTTTGACCCATTGATGAGTTAAGATTAAGTATTGTATTTTGTTATGGGTATTTTCAATAGTCGGTTGTAATGTTGTATGTTATGATGATCTTTAAGTCTCATGACAGACTGATATTATATTATAAATTTGTTTACAAATTAATGGATTATTTTATAAATAGGACTCAGCTACTAAATTGCAATTTAATTTATTAGTTGATGTTTTTTTAGTTATTATTTTTTTAATTATTTTGGCCTTTTCATGCCTTTATTGGATAGAGACAGCTGAAGATCGACAGGAAAGGTGGGTAAAGAGAGAGGGGATGACACGCAGCAAAGGGCTGCTGCAGTAACTCCGTGTATGGGTCGCCAGCTCTACCAAATGAGCTAACCGGGCGCCCTATTAGTTGATGTTCCAATGGGCAAAAAAAAGAGGAACTATAAAAAATTATTTACATATGGGGCGCCCTGATAGCTCACCTGGTAGACCTGGAGTCCCATGTACCAAGGCTGAGTCCTTGCTGCAGTGGCCATGGGTTTGAGTTTGATTTGTGGCCCTTTGCTGGGTGTCATCCCCTCACTCTTTCCCTCTTTCTTGCCCATATTGAGCTGCAAATCAAATAAAGGCAAAAAGCTAACAACCTCCTTTCAAAATATATATATTAATAAATAATTGAATTAAAAAGTATATTTTAAAATTCAGTTTTAAAAGGAGAAATAAATAGCACAATTCACAAAGTGAATTAAGACTACAGATTTTAATCAGGCATTCATAAGGGTAATTCCTTCCCCATTTGCATTTCCAGTTTTCCTGCTGATTTTCTTAGCTATTCAGTTCACTTACCTTCTTCCTTTAGCCTCTCCATTTAGCCTGTCCGTGACACTCTTGCCGTAGTAAAACAAGGAATTAATTTGTAAACAAATGTATTAATGTTTTTATTGTCAATTTATTGTTAATTGATGAAATGCCTTATTACTATTAATGTGACACTTGTGGTCCTCCTTAGCAGTGCTGGGCAGCAAAAAATTGTATCACAAGATTTTTTAAGATTCTGGCAATATCATGTCTAGGGGCATATGTAAAAATGTAGTTGTTACTTAGAGTTAAGTTGTAACTTCTCTCCAGGATGCAACCGCTTTTATTTTTGTAATGTATTAATCACAACTTAGTAATAATTTATGTCATAACTATAAGTTTGAACTTACGCACAGCTGCTGCCACAGACTGTAGGTGTAAATGAATGATGGCTGAATTCCATTTAGCTGCTTCAGTTTCAAGGTCTTGGTATTGTGCATGTTGGGCTCATTGTCATGTCTTACTGGGACAGTTGATTAGTCCAAAGTATCAATAATGGTATTAGTAACAAGTGTTTTTCTTAGTATAGGTCAAAATGGGATTATACACTAATGAAAACATACCTATAAATATTATATTGCATTTCTGACAATAGATCCTCCTAAATGTTACACACTGGACCCTTTTTTCAATAAATGTCAAAATACTGTTCATTAAGTATTTTAACTAAAAAAAAAATGGTTGAAACAGATTACATCAAAACATCACAGACAAAACAACAGCAATTATTTAAGTTAAAAAGTAAAAGATTCTTGATTAAGCAGCTTTAACTTTAATTTTAAGTTACACTAACTTAGTTTTATAAGTAACATCACTTTCCCGATTACTGTAAAACTTCTTATAATAGCCCAGCGTTTATTTGCTTAAATCACTGAACTCCCCCTGCCTTTATTGGGGACAGGCCTCTATTTGGGACAGGCCTTTAATTCCTTTAGCACAAAAGTAAACTAAACTCTAACTGCTGCTTCTCTTGAATTTTGTTCAGCAAATTTGACAACTAACATGATGATTATGATGCTTCAGAAGTTTTTATTTTCTTCTCTCGTTTACCATGTTACCAGTAAGTCAGAATGAATTAACGTTATACTTCGGTTTTTAATTTAATTGTGGAGAATCTATAACTGATCTAATGATGTTCATTATGTACATATTGACAGAAGTTTAAACATTTATATTTGTGTAGGAGATCAAAACGACTTAAAACTTCTATCTCGAGGTTTTATACTTCAAGATAATTTCTATAAAATCCATTTGAGACCTGCGTTTATTCGTCAAAACGAGTAGCCACACCAGGCTTTTAAAAGAGACCTGCGTCTATTAGGGACCCTGCTTTTATTGGAAGTTTTACGGTAAGTGCTTTTGACTAGGCATTTTGTTTTCACAGTACAAATAAAAACTACAAAATAAAGTCAGTGTCACTTAAAATTACTTAAGCTACTTCATCAAGAATGTTATTTTAACTTACAAAATTGAGTTTAGTTTTACTTAAAATCTTCGATGTAATAAGTTTCAACAATTGAGTTGAATGAACTTATCTGGTTTTACAGTGTACATTTTCACTGGATTTTTCCCAGTGTTTACTTCAGCAAAAGAATGTCACATGTTTGTAGTTTTTTTTGTCAGCTTTATTTCATAATTCTATTTTTCTCGTTGTAATGCAGTCCCTCCCTTAACTCTGAGATCCACAATCTGCACTTTTCCTGCCTCCTTTCGCATTTCCAACGCTGTTACTGAACTGCTCTTGAGCACGCAGGCTTATTGTTCAGCAGGCAAAACAAGCATGTGAATTATTGCTGATTAATTAAGCACATATCAGTCTCACTTGAGGCACTGTGACATGAGTGATTACCAATTAGCTGGGACCTGATCTTGCTGGCTCTGCATGCTGTCTGTTGCTGTGCGTTGTCATAAGAAGGCCCTGTCTGTCTAATTGGTGACACTTTGTATGTTGCCTTTTCCGCTGTAATGACCCCGATGGTGAAATATGAAATTATAAAACCGGCTCAGTGCTCATTACTCACACATTAATCCATTAGTCAACAGATATCACTGTCGTCTAACAGAAACTGTTTGTTAGTGCTTTTATGATCGGCTGCATTGTTGATTTAGAGGTATTAAGAGGTTTAACAGTGTCAGTATTGCACCCAAACATAGTCAAACCTATTCCCCTTTTAAAATGAACTATTCCTAACCTTGCTGGATATGTTAGACCTTAAAGTCTTGACTAATGAAATATATTCTGAACCATTCAGCAAGTTAAGAACTTCACCACCAATGTCTCTAGATGAAAAAAGACCCCCAGCATTTTACATGATCTCATAGCTAAAGAAATTACATCATCAACAACAATACAGACCCGAAGGTTTGGAACCAGAGGAGCGTAAGTGACATTTTGAGCAAAAATAAATTATATTTACCAGATGAAAGCTCTTGATGGCAGTGTGTGAAGTGTGAAGGAGAAACTACGCCCCTATCTAGCTTCATTGTTTGGTTTGTCCGTTCTGGGTTACTGTAGAAACATGGTGGTCCAACATGGTGGACTCCACGGAATCCTCCTAAACGTTACACACTGGACCTTTTTTTTCCCCAGTTAATGTCAAAATACTGTTCATTAAGTATATTTTCATCCCGATGTTTGTTTTAAGTTTTAATAAAAAAAGATTGAATTTAATAAACAAAGACAGGACAAAGGATAGTACATTTTTGGTCTATATTCTGGTGTATATAAATAGTTGTTGTGATTTATATAAATTAATTACAAAATATTTGCAGTGGATTCTCCAGATTAACATTCATTTCTGACAATAATTCTATTTAAGAGACATGAAACCACTGAACATCTTAATTTTATTGAAACAACTAATTAGAAAGAAAAATGAACGGTTAAAAGAGAAAAAACAACAACAATGTATTGTTTTTTCTTATCCATTATCAGTTTATTTATGTAATGGTAAATAAAATGAATATGTCAGTACAGTTTTTAAGATTTCGTGGACTACCAGTAATACTGCTGCTCCCTGGGTCTTTCTAGAAATGTCAAATGTATTATTTTAACATCATTATTAACTTCATTACTTTATATATTTAGCCTTCTCTTCTTTCCTAATGTGTTTTTGGATGATGTCTTGTTATTTTACCTTTTGTTTGTACATTCAAGATAAAAGTAGAATTAAATAAAAGGAAAAGTATAGCTGAATTTTCCGCACAATAAAGTAAATTATATTTCTGTGTAGGTGTGATATTATCCCAATCCATCTCCATGCCGTTTTTAATTAGCGGTCTCTTCCTCGCCACTGGTCCCCAGGGAGCGGGGCTGTGGAGGGAGGCGGGGAGCTGCACCTGCCGCCCCTGTGCTTCACTTCCAGGCAGCCGAGCGGCCACAACAAAAGGAGGCGCAAACCGCCGCCGCTCCGTCTGCGTCAAGCTCTCCGGGCGCAGCCAGCCAACTACAGGAAGTTAGTAGATCTTGCCTTCAAAATAAAAGGTTTTGGTTTGACGCACTGTCCTCCTATAACCCATTTCCAGTCTTTTAACAGGCGCCCTGTGTCCAACTATGAAAGTGTGTGAGTATAGTGTTGACAGACGACAAAATTAACATTATTTTGTTTTTAACAGTGTGACTCCTAAATATGCAAAGAAGAAACAAACATTTTAGAAACCTTTGGAAACTATTTTACACGTTATTCACAGCTCTGAAGTTGAAAAGAAAAAACTAAGAAACAACGAAAAAGTGCTGTCTCTTATTATTTATGAGTTTAAACTCAAACAATCCAAGATAAAATGATTTGTTTGGTCTTTGCTCCTTCTGATCATTGCCGTATGTTTGAACGCAGGTTAGACAAACCTGGGCAGATGGATCCCTGATCACCGTTTGAACCCATCTGAACCGAAAGGAAACCATCTGTCGTACACAACTGCAACAACGGTAAAAGAAGGAGCCTGTTCTTCACAGCAGTGCAACGGCAGCTCATTATGCTTCATTCTGACCAAAGGCAGCACTGCAAAGGCTCCCACACCGAGAGCACCAGGCTCACAGCACCAGGCTGACAGCACACTGCTGCTGAATTACAGGCGTTATTAGGAGGGCAGATACCGGAAGTAGTTGTGCTGTGTTTTCGCGGTCTTGACGCTGACGAAAGGAGCGACAGAAGGTGATCGAACTAAAGCAGGGATGTGGAGGAAAGGAAGAAATTAGAGAGAGAGAGAGAGAGAGAGAGAGAGAGAGAGAGAGAGAGAGAGAGAAGCTGTTCCGTGCTTGAATGCGGCTCACCGAAGGATTCACAGCGTAGACTGAGAAGAGAAGACGAGGAAGAAAGAAAGAGAGAGGAGAGAGAGGAGAGTAAGTCCGCTGTGTGAAACGAGCCCGGGTCGCTTCTATCATCCGCAACACGGTGTCTGTTTCACCGACGTAGCGAGCAGCCTCACCGCGCCTCCTGCGCATCATCCTCGGCTCCGCACTGCTGCTGCTGCCCGGGGACAACACTACCCACATCTCCCAGCAAGGTAAACAGACCCACTCCTCTCACCGAACACTGTTATCTGTTCCCCGTCTTATTTATCACATTTCCGCTCTCTTTATGACCATTAATCGCTGAAAATGGTCATGTTGTTGAGAGCTGGTGTCGGCTGTCTCCCAGGGCTAACACTACAGTCTGAACGGGGACCCGCTCGGTACTGTTGTTGACGCAATAGCAGGAGTGTACCTCGGACATGGCGGTGAAGGAACTTCACATCAGACCAGGCAATTTCATTTCGCTTCGGCTTTCGGCAAACGTACGGTACACCTCAGCATGACTTAGGACTGTGCAGGACCTTTAGTGTAGCCCTGGTTGGCTTCGGCTTAATGAAGTGGCATTTCATTTAGTTGCATTTGAACCAGGATCCTGTTTAAGTCTTGTATGTGAACTGATGGTTTATTTAAATAGGTAAGGTGCTGCAGTAGTATGTGGAACACACTCAGTTGGGTAATTTCACTGAAAAACCTGAAACCTGGTTCATTTAACTCAAAACATTGTTGAAAAAGAAAGAAAAGCTAGTAAAAACTACTTCATCGGGAATGTTTGTGTAACTTACAGAACTAAGATAGTGTCACTTAAAATCCCGATGAAAAACGGTTTTTTTACTTAAAGCTGCAGTAGGTAACTTTTCTCAAAATAATGTTTTGTCTTATTAGCTGAAATTCTCACTGTGTCCTGACGGTAGAATATGAGACAGATAATCTGTCCTCCTGACATCTGTCCTCCTGACAAAAAAAAAAAATTCTAAAAACTACCTACTGCAGCTTTAAAATAACTTACTGTATCACAGTGTGTAGTTTGGTGTGACATCCAGATACATGTTTTTTGAGCTGCATTATGCATGCTAGGGACATGTGAGGATACAGTGTAGTGAGTGTGGTAAAGAGGACCTTCATTACCACAGTGCTGACACATTATATGATTACTGGAGAAAACTATATTCAGTCAGACCTTTTTCCTTACGCACAATACTTTTCAACAGTCTAGAATATAATAATTGCGCAACACTTATTTCCAGAAACACTGCTCTATTGGTTCGCGGTAGCATATTTCCACCATGGTGACCTTAGCATCCTATCTGGCATTTGAAATCTCTTATTCTTTTAATAATAGAGTATAAGAATTACCAATGGGATGTCAGATTGAGCTTTGTTATATCTGAATCAGATTGGCGCTGTTGCATTTTTTTTATGATAAAGATGTATTATATTGGGTTTTCACTTACTGATGGCTCACTTGGGTAATGTTATAAATGGGAGATGATACCCACACAGCCTCCTTTAAAGCTGAAATGTTTCACTTTCCACCTGCTGTCGCTCTCTGCCGCAGTGAGAGCTCTAAGCAGTGGTTCCCATCCTTTTTCCTTCAGGGTGCTCTTTTCTATCACTGAGTAAACTGACTAAGTGACAGATTTTATGGATATTTCATATTATTTATTATTACTTAATAGGCTTGTTTTTGGACAAATTCAGTGATTTCTTCTCATTGTTCTATCAGCTCTTTGGTAGTTTGAATGTTTCTAATGCAGGACGAGACTGTTTATCGGAGTGAAGGCTCTGTGAATATAGCCTGTGTTCAGGTCTTAAGAGTTTAGATCTTCAATAATAATCTAAACTTTAAAATAGCAGTTTCGTGTAGTTTTTGTCTAAATGTTAGTCTGAGATGTTGAACTATTGAATATTTAAAGCAAAATGTTTCTCACACCCCTTAAAATCAAGAAGGCCTTTCGACCATCCGTGAGGTTTTGGCGACACCTAGTGGGCGTCCGGAACCCTACAGGTCCACAGCAATGATGGCCGGTTATGTTGAAGCCGCTGTTTATTTTTTGAATCAGTCATGCCAAAATTTGAAAAAAGCTCCTTGTTCTTAAGTGTGACAGTACTCGGGTTATGCTTCATTTTGTGTGAAATGTGACTCCACAAGCCAGCATCAACATTTATGTAGACCATACAGGGGCATAAATGTGCTAGCAGCTCCACATGCTGCATGTTCCAAAGTCAATTCAAAGATCTGATCAACCAGACCTAAAGTAGACAGTAATTCTTGTTTTATGAGGCAGTTTATGTGACACTTTAGTTTGACATTTGGTGTTTGATCACTGGCAGGAAGATGCACAGTAGTTGTTGTTGTTGCCTTTAACTAGCGTCAGTGGAGTCTTTAATGTTAAAACTGTTGATGGCTGCCATTAAGACAATTATTAGTTCAGGTTAGACTCCAATGAAAACAGTTCAGACAGACATTTAAGTGCCCTGCACCATGTGGTGCCCAGACACTATGGGTTTACAAGACACTAGGGATGCACCGATCCACATTTTTTCACTTCCTATCCGATCCCGATACCTGAATTTGGATATCGGCCGATACCGTTACTATTCCGATACCAGAGCTCTGTTTGCTTTAATATTATTATTATCATTATTGTTGATTTTATATGAGGCTGAAATAAACTCCTCTCAACAGGCAAGTATGATATGTACGTAAGTATGCATGTATGTCCCAGAAGGCAACTTGAGGTAAGTATAAGATCAGAAAAGGAAGTCAGAAAAAAAGGAAATCCTGTTAACAGGAAAAATCCCATTCTGAAAACAAATATGCAACTGTAAGGGTTTTAAATTGATTGTCATGTCAATATTTATTAAATTCCCAAAATGTCAAATATTTGAGTCTTGAAATATAAGAAAAGTGCAATAAGTGTAAACATCTTACACACACACACACACACACACACACACACACACACACACACACTATCAATAAAACAGTGTGCATCTGAACAGCACAGATCAAGTACACTGGCTCTTGTAGTATCAATAAATCAAGGTTTTAAAATGTCAATTATCTGAAATATAAGAAAAGTGCAATAACTGTAAACATCTTACACACGCGCACACACACACACACACACACACACACACACACACACACACACACACACACACACACACACTCGGTCCCTTTAGCTTTCCCATTGTCTGCCTGGAGTTTACCTTGTTTTTGGAATGACTCCAGAAGTGATTCCTGACAGCTCGCCTAAAAAATCCTCGTGCTGTTTCGTGTGGTGTTTTTTTAAATGTTTGATTGTGTTCGTAGTATTGTACGACGCGAGGGCGCTTCCGCTTCTCTGAATTACGGCTTTGCAAACATTGCATTTTGCTGTCTTGCTCTGCGGTGTTTCCAGTGTAAAGTATTTCCACACAGCGGACATGTTGGCTAGCCACAATGCTGCTCAATGCTATCCTGCTAGCTGGCTGCAAACTGCGGAATGGATTTCCTGAGCGGGGGCGTGTCTCATAACTCTCTGTCTCATTGAGCCACGCCTCCGTTCAGGAAATCCATTCCACAGTTTGCAGCCAGCTAGCAGACTGGTCGGCAGGAATCACCTGTGGAGTCATTTCAGCAGACAACGTTAACGCTCATGGCTCATGGATATCGGAAATCTGCGCAGGTTGGATCGGGAAATTCCGATACGTGAATTACGCTGGTATCGGTCCCGATACCAATACTGGATCGGATCGGCCCCATCCCTACAAGACACTAATATTAATATTATTTTTAATATTAATAATACTCATTATTAATATTAATATTAATACACTTGATTTATACAGCACTTTTCAAAACAAAGTCACAAAGACGTACATGGCCAGGACAAGGATTAAAAACATTCCAGGAGGGAATGAGGCAAAACAAAATGTGAGCTAGAATAAAAAGGGAAAAAAATACCTCCATCTGTAAAGATAAATACTAACAATGAAACAGAAAATAATTCCCATAGTGTTAATTAACTGCACTGGGGCAAATACATTTAAACATTTAAAAGGATACAACATTTTAAGACTAAAATACCCATCACTAAACATGATTAAAACAATATTTTGTAAGAAATACCTACTGCAGAATAATAAAATAGCTGAGACATGATGGAAATGAAACATGCTTAAACAAGGCTTTTTAAAAATGTTTTGAGAAGTGATTTCAAAGATGTCCCTGATTCAGGAGGCAGGGAGTTCCTGCAAGATGGCCACATGACAAATCATAAAATATAGTTCCACAAATTCACAAAGAAAACATGTCATAACATTCAATTTCAACAACAGAAATGTCTTATGTTGGACACAGTGTTCTCTGTCTTAATTGTTATACATTTCCTATAAATCTTGCAAAGACAAAAAAAATCAAAAAATGAAATGAAATTCATCCTCCACTACACCAAGATTACAAAACACACAGGAACACCTGTATACCTGCCTATCTTAATTGCCAGTGGTGAGGTACCAGTTCTGAACTGAGTACACTGGGATCTCTGCCCTCTCTTTAAATGAAATATTATACACGGTTCTGTGTGCTAGCCTGTGTCCTAGCCTCCTAGAAATCATTCACTCATGATTCAGTCATATCAAGTACTCTACGCACACAGTTAACCTGCATTGAATTATTCATAGTTTAGATGTAAGGGAACAGATCATGAGACATCACAAACTCATTTTGCAGCAGCTGACAGAGCCTTGGTGGATCAGACCCGTGCCTGTGGATCACTGTACTCTCTGTATGAAACAGAACAAAGATGCAAAGCAGGAGAAGACATGTGGAGAGCTAGGAGCTTAGTGCCGTCATTTAGAGTTTGGCAGAGTGTGTCTGTTTAATAGTGAGAAATGATACACTGTAGAGTCAGTGAGGCTGCAGGATACTGAGTGGCACAGGGACTCCACAGGGTCTTAAAAAGTCTACAATATGATTTTGACACATCTTTAAAATGGTTGGATTAATGAAGTTAACGTTGCTTGTATAAGTCAGTCTGGCTTATGTGTTTTTGGAGAAAAAATTATATTGATCATGCTGTAACAACTACAAGAAGACACTAACATGGAATTAGGGATGCACAATTAATCATCACCTTATCAAAATCACAGTATGGTTGAGTGCAATATTCAAATCACAAGAAGCTGCAATTTTTAAAAAAGCTAAAATGTGACAAACAGCGTTATA